TCCTAAGCTTTCTGTTAAGACAGCTCCATTCTTCTGAGTGACTTGTTTGACTGTTGCAGAGTTGACTTTTGACTTTATGTTTGACTTCATCAAATCACTGAGATATTTGCTAGTCGCTCGAGCGAGATTAGTTTCGCTCAAGCGAAAAACAACCCGAGTACAAGCAATTATGTGCAGGTGTCTTCGCTCGAGCGAGTTTAGTGTCGCTCAAGCGATGTATAGCTTCTAATAGCGGTTCTAGTTGAACCGCTATCTAAAGTGTCGAGGTTGTGGAAAAGTGATCGATCATTTTGGCAAAATAATCGATCATTTGAAAACTTTAGGTAGCGGTTAACATATAACCGCTATCACAGGTTACTTTTAAGAGCGATTATCTTTGTAACCGCTCTTAAAAGTGTATATATAATAGCGGTCCAGTTTAACCGCTGTCTTATATATATTTGTAATAGCGGTTATTACTGGAACCGTTATCTAAAATCTTGATCATTTGACAGATTATATATTCTAAACACGACAGAAGAAGTCACGGGCTGTACCTGCAGTGGTCACGGGCTGTACATGCAGTGGTCACGGGCTGTACAGCCAACTTCACGTGTTCACAACTGATAGAAGTTACAGGGAAAGTTATTGTATTATATAAAGCAAAGCTAGTCTCATAAGACTAGCTAAAAGACTCTAGCAAAGCAAAGCTACTCTGTTGTAGGTTGGATCTTCGCCGGCGGCCATTAACTTCGGTGTGACCTTGCTTGGTACGTTTGTTTTTGGTATATTGTCGGAGGAACACCCCAGGTATGGTTCTGTGTCTTCTCTGTCATGGTTGGAACATAAAACTTGGTTGGTACGTTTGCTTTTGGAGTCTGTGTGCATGCATAAGAGTGTGTGTGACCATTCAGTTTTATTTTGTTAAACTCAACATCAGGGACCAATCGGTCACTGCAGTGGTAGATTTAATTATCATCCTTAATTAGATATAGCTTTTATGGAAATTGTATAAGAAAATGATGATCCCAAAACTTTAATTTATAATCAATTACAACTGTTGATTTTATGTATGTTATAATTGTATACCAAAATTGTGTTTTGAATTTGAAGAATGATCTGTATTGACATGTATAACCTGCATAAGAATATTGCTGTACTTTTGATCTGGATAATGCAAAATTCTGAAATCTAAGCATTTAGGTATAAGTATTATGACAACACTTACATATGATAACTTTATGCCGCTTGCAATTTCTTTTTAATCTAGTACAATAGGTACAGACTGCAACAAGAAATGAGAATTTGTTGTAAATAATTATTAGTAAAAATATTAGAGGAAAAAAATTATTAGTAGTTTTGTAAATAATTTTTGGTTTTGTGATACTTGGTTTGCGAGATGGCAATTTTGAATTACTTCCATTAAACATTAATTAATTATATATATATATATATATATATATATATATATATTTATGCAGATGGCGAGACAAAAACATCGAGGTCATTGATTTAGACAATGACGATATAGATACTTGGTCCGGATATAAACATGATTTCACATATACAAAGTGAGATAAAAAAGCGAAGCGAAATAGGAGCGATGACAATTCTTTGTTTGATAGCTTATGGATTAAATATGTTGTCTATGGTAACTTGTAGTAGCGAGTAACATTAGGGACTTTATTTCGAAAAAGAACGTCGTCGGCACGAGTTGATGTCATACCTTATTCATACTGAACAATCTCGTCACATTATTCGCATGGGACCGGAGGCGTTCATTAACTTGTGTCAACGAGTAAGGACAAGCTGGATTAGTAAACGATGGGTTACAATCAACAGTGGAAGAACAAGTGGCTAAATTTCTCCATATTATCGGACATAACGTTAAAAATCGAACTGTTTCATTTTTTTCCATCGATCAGGTGAAACCGATTAGTCGACACTTTCATAACGTGTTGAATGCGATAATAATGTTGGACGAACAATTAATTGTTCAACCATCGGGAAGGGATGTGTGTCCGTATATATTAAGCAACAACCGATTTTACCCATACTTTAAGGTAATGTACTTACCAACTTTGTGTCTATATAACATACACATAGATTGTCTAAACTTTAATGACAATAAATTTTTTACCCATTAGGATTGTTTAGGGGCAATAGATGGAACTCATGTTCGAGTTAAAGTCGCAAGATCGAGATGCCCCTCGTTTTCGTGGAAGAAAAGATTGGCCAACACAAAACGTATTTGCAGCTTGTGATTTCGACATGAAATTCACATATGTTCTAGCAGGGTGGGAAGGAACAGACATCCGATTCAAGAATATTAAAGGATGTTCTTACGAGAGAGGATCGCCTTATCATACCACAAGGTTTATTATTTATAACATGCGGATTTTGTGTATAGTCAACTAGTTTGAATATTCTAATTAGTATAACTTCAATGATTTTAAATAGGTAAATACTACTTGGGGGATGCTTGGATTTATGTTAAAAGCAAACATAATGACCCCTTATCGAGGCGTTAGATACCACCTTAAAGAGTATTCTCGACGAGCTCCACAAAACCCCGAGAATTGTTTAACCATCGACATTCGTCTCTTAGAAATGTCATTGAAAGAACATTTGGAGTTTTGAAGAAAAGATTTCCTATAATAGCTAGTGGAACAGAGCCTCATTATTCATTTGATACAATGACGAATATAGTCCTAGCATGTTGCATTCTACACAATTTTCTTCGAGGGATAGACAACGATGAATCACCGTTAGTCGAAGTGGATCGAGAGTTGATGGAACAAGATGTGGATAATATGTCGACTCAAGTTCGGGAAGAGGATTATAGGGAAGGGTCAAACTTAAGAGATACTATAGCAAATCAAATGTGGATAGATTATCAAAGTCATTAGATTTTGTATATAATAATATATTTAATAAGATGTACTATTGTTATTGTTGAAATACGATTACATTACGATTATCTATTTATAATAATTATATGTTGGTATCGTAATTACATATATTATCTTTCCAATAGGTTTAAAATGAACAGAGGAAAGGATATTGCACCGGATTCGTCACCTGTAGTGCGCGAGTTTACAAAATGGACTGATGACATGGACTTTCGGTTGTTGACTGCTATGCTTGATGAGTCAAGGTTGGGTAATCGGGTTGATGGTAGTTGGACAAGCCAAGCATATAAGAATATAGTTGAATCCCTAAGACAGTCTGGATTAATTGGTATAACTAAAAATAATGTTAAAAATCGACAAAAAAGTCTTAAGGATAGATGGCGGGAGGTCCACGATTTGTTTCATGGACTTAGTGGATTCGCTTGGGATGATATGACAAAACGGTTTGTGGTCGAGCAAGAAGTATGGGATGACCTAATTAAGGTACTATTATATGAATTATCATTTGTTAATATAGCAAAACATAACAATTACGAGTGTTAACCATTCTCATTATTTTGTAGGCGAAGCCTTCGCAGCTAAATGGAAGCTGGCAACTATAAGACATTATGATTTGATGGAAGAATTGTGGGGTGCTGATCGAGCCGGTGGACATATGGCAAGAACTTCGCGTCGAGCCCGAATGAATATCGGTTCTCGAAGGGCAACGATCGACTTGAACGTTGATGTGGACCCCACACCGGAGGAGCAACCATTTCACTTTGGCTTTGATGCGGGATTTGATACAGCCTTATCGATCACCTCCACGCATGGGTTCCGACAGTCCTGGCGAGGGTGCTCACTCAATTCCATCTGCTGCGTCTATCGGTTCGGGTGGAACCTCTTCATCTCGGGGCACAAAAAGAAAAGCGCCTATGGTTGATGTGATGGAAGGTCAATTTGAAAAACTAACATCGAGGCTGGACACATTTACAGATTACCTCGGGCAAGGTAATACAATCACCCAACGATTATCTGACATAGCTGAAAGACAGGTGGTCGCCATTGAACGCAGAAATGAATTAATTAATGAGCAAGTTAATGTGATGAGACGATCATCAACATTTCAACATTCGGAGTCAGATATATGGGACATGTTAGTCGGCATGAACCTAAATGACGAGCAACTTATGCTTCAGTGTTATAATCATTTGTGTACTCACCCATCACATGTTAGACGACTTTTTGGCTTGCCCTCACATCTTCGTCTCTCCCAGGTTGTTCATGTTCTTGAATGGAGGTGATTGAATGATCTGAACCTGGAGGACTTGATTGCAAAAGATGTATAACATTATCTTTATTTGTTTGAAGAGCATTAGTGTGCATAGATTTATAATTTTAGTAATCTTTCCTTTAATTATTATTCTATTTTCACTCGTATTTTATATTTGTTTTAAATAATAATGTACAATTATATTATTAGTTTTCATAATTATTTGTTATTATCGATCAATATTAATTATTATTTTATATTTTATAATTATTTAATTATTAGTCAAATAATTTATTTAATATGTCAACATTATTTGAATATGGATATGCAATGTACATAATTTTGTAATTGTTTATTTATATAATTTTTAATAACTATCTAAAAAAAGTTAATTTTTTAAATTTGTTTCCAATTACAAACACTTTTAAATTTGTTTTTTCTTTTAAATATATAATCAATGTTAAAATATGGATAATTAATTAAAAAATTATATTTATAATCATTTGAACCTTATTTTATACAAAGGATAAAATGGTAACTTTCTTAAATAATCAACATAAAATTATAATTTTTATATCTCATATCAATCAAATCATTCACAATTTCCCATAAACTTTCCTTTCACTTTTCATTTATCTCCCTTTCTCTTCAAATCCCTCCTTTTCCACTCTCTCATTTCCACTCCCTCAAATCACTCCAACCAAACAAAGCATAAATGAATCCTTGCGAATTAAAAAGCAGACTTTTTTTTTCTTCTTTGGAAGAGAAAAATCCAGTATGCAATTGGCGGGCTAATTTTACGACCCATATTCAAAAGCTTCGGTGAAGCTATAGAGTCGGATTGGGAGCGAAGAAAGATGGAGTCCCCACTCTCAATCTGCGAAGCAGAGATCCTTCTTCAAACGCAAAACATCGACGCTTTCACCGCTTCTTTCGCCGAATCCCTCCATTCCCTCCTACCCACAGCGCAAGAAAGCGCTCGCTGTCAAGGTTCCTCACTTCCATTGATTCAATTATCTTACACGCTTCTTCTCATACATTAGGGTTTCCACTCCAATCCTTCTTTGCTTCACTTTCTTCGACTTAGGGTTTCCGTTCTCCCTCTCACACACTCTCTCCTTTCTTCCCAGTTCAACTAGACGAGGCTAGAGCTAAACTGAGAGACACCGAGGATGATTTGGTCAAAGCACTTGCAGGTGACTTCAACCTTTTTTATTCAATTTTAATTTCGCGTTCCCGTTTTAATTTTCATTTGAATTCCTTTCTACTTTCAAATAACCGCTTCGATATTTACGTGCAGTCAAGACTCGCAAAGAGGCCAAGCGAATGGCTTTGGTGGATGCTATTGCTTCTGCAAAGGCTAGAGTTGAAGACCTCAATGCAAGTATTCAGGAGCAGCGGACCAAAAAACAAAAATACGCTGCAATTATATCTCAACAAAATCTTTGTAATGCACCTCATTCTCTACCATATGCAACTTTCTTACTAGATGCTTATATATACTGTATAGTTATTTAACTTAATCATGGGAAGGTACTTAACATCCCCTTATTTTATTATGTTATGTAAAACACTAAACAGTGAACCTTGTTTATCTACTATAGTCATCACAATCAGACATGTTTTTAGTTTGTGATTTTTTCAAGTCTACATGTTTATTTTGTTTGCAGGCTCATCTTTTGTGATGACGAAGTTATATGTAAACGTGAACACGATGTGCGTCTGTGGTTGATTAGCCAATTGCCATCTTGCAGTGGCATTAAAATTACATTTATTAGCCCTGTCACGGCCATTTACTGACATTGCTTTTACTTCAGCATGCAGTCTATGTTCTGTTTCCTTTTCTTGAATCAAAGAACTTTGAGGGCAGGACTTATCATGCAATCTTTAATATAATTTTTAATGTTAAAGTTTCAAATGTGGTAAAAGAAGTTCTATAAAGGTTTTGTCATTTGTGCCCTCTTACTTGTCTCGGCAGAACGTATTTTGGAATTGTGTTCGTGTCTTTTACCTTGTATACATTTGCGTTGTTCTACTTACTACTCAATATCTGTTTCATGAGATATATGATGAACAATTCTAACCTTACGTTTTCCTAATCTCTCTTCTCTTTTCTTCTATGAAAAGCTTTGGCTGCATCTGAGAGGAAGTTAAATGAAAGCGTTGAACAGAAAGATGAAACACAAGAGGTCATTTCCTGGTACAATAGGGTCCTTGGTTTTCATGTAAAAGGCGGTCGTGGTAATTGGCATTAATCTTTTATCCGATAATTGATTTTTCTTCACCAAATTGATATCCTAACTATTTCTTCTACTCTTCAGGGGTAAAATTCACATTCAAGAATATAAATATGAACAATCCAAATGAGGAGTTCTTTTTTACTATCTTCCACGAAAAGGATACATACTCGTGTAACCATCGAATCTGATTTTATGATCATAAAACTATATGGATATACTTCACGAATCTGAATTTTGTCCTTTATCTTTCAGTATTAAGCTGTGAGCCTTCCCTCAATGAAACTAAAGAGTTGATCCACGAATTAAACAAGACAAACGATCTATTTAAATTTGTCAGAGTAATGAGGAAAAAGTTCCAAGAAGCAGTGGCACAAGGTACAACGATGGTCCTTTCATTCTTTTACATGTGTGCATTCATGAGATTGTAGAGTTCTCTATTTTGCCAGATGAATTTAGCGCTTCAATTGTAAATTAAGTTAATTGGTCCTTTGCCCAGTGTGTTTAGTTTTTGAAAATTGAAACCATGGTTACTGAAACCAAGTGAGCAGCTTGCTAGCTGGTTATCTGCCAAACCAAGAATAAGCCTTGTCCAGTTATGCTAGTTAATCCATAGCCATTGTTGTAGACCAATGTTTGGAGAAAGGATTTTGCTTGAATCTCATGCATGTTTATTAAAAGGATTGATTTATCTATTTCCGTGATCATCTCCTTAGGTGGCATTTATTTTAAGGTATCATGTTACATTTCCAGGAATCATATTCCTAAGAATATTCTAACTATGTTGTCTTGGCTTTTTCAAAATTATGTTTGGTTACATTCCTAATATTCCGAGGAATATTTATTAAAGTTTAAAATAATTGAAATGGAAATATAAGTAAAAGTGGAAGTTACTACTATGCTAGAAAATAACTTCCCATATACTCAGGGAAACTTTCCCACCTCTCATTGGGAACAAAAAGTGCCGGAAATAAACACGATACTGCAATTTTCTTAGGAATCAACAATTCTCAAGAATAATTGTGCAGCCCATAACAAACATGAGAATATTAGATTCCTAGGCTATGTTTACATTCCAGGGAATGATTTTATATTCGGTCAACAAATTTTCTTGTTTGGAACATTGGTGAATAGACTGCTTATTATAATTGTTATTTTTTAAATTGCATCAAAACAGGTAGTTTAGTTGTGACAGCTGGTGAACATGAAGACTCTGCTTTTAACTCTGCATCTGCTCCAGTTTTATCAATGTCATCTGTTAGAAGTGATATTCTGGGCAAGGAGAATGAGCACGAAGTTGAACCTACAGAAGGTAATCCACAAGTCAAAAAACAATATGTTCGTGGAGGGTTAAAAGCAGTTTTATCTCCAGGATCTGCATCGTCTGTTCGTCAGTCTTCTCGTTTGAAGGTATGAGTTCTCAATTGCTGTATTCGTTGAATTAAAATTCTTGTCTCATCACACAGCATTATCCCTAGACCATTCTCTTCACAGAAGATGTTCTCCTATTGTAGTTGATCATGGCCCCTTGAATAGTTAAGAAGTCAGTCCCTTTCTATCTTTCTCATCTGTTCTTGATGTGATAAATCAATCTTAGCCTAGAGAAAGATGTTAAATGCTTACTTGACTCAGACTATCCAAATTTATCCTTGATACGTGCATTGTACATGCTGAGAATTTCATATTAGTAAGTTGTTTTTAACATTGTATGATTGTTATTGTTTGAATTAGCTTAGCTTAAGTAAGTGGGATTGACTTTGGCCCCATTAGTTTTTTGTATTGGAACCGAATTGGGTTTTTCCTATAACTTGTAAGTTATAACAATGACTGAAGAGGACATTCTTATGAACTTGATTTTTTTCTCTCTCAAATGTTCTGCCCAGACGGAAAAGTGTTCGGCGAAGGGTGACTTTTATTCCCGTCGTTATGTGGCTGATTTTTTCCTCCTTTTTGTCTTGACACCTGGTCCTTAATTACATGTCTTGGTTTAATTGTGCCTCTTAATTGCATTTCCCTTTTATATATGTCGTCTTCTGTATATGAAATATAATTATCATTCTTGTAATAGTTGCCACAGCCTACTCTTTTATGTGCAATGGCCGGTCTTCAGTAGTATCCTTCTGGTCCTTTTGAATTTTTCTTTATGGATGATGGTTAAAAAGGATTGAGGATTTTATCTTTAATGCATTTTTGGGTCCTGTGTTGCAGAGATTGGATGTAGGAAGTTACTGTAATATCTATTTTGACATCATTTAATTGAGAATAAATTTAAATGACTAGTTTTCTAGATGAAAAAAATTGGACATAATTATTGCGTATAATATATATGACAGGCTAGGAAAAAAAGTCTAGGGGAGGATGCTAGCCACGTCATTTGTTGATACAGACTGAGGTCTCTGAAATGCTCCTATAGTCATAGCTCATGACTCAGGTTGCTAAGTGCTAACAAACTGACCCCACTCCAGTCATTTCTGCATTCTAGATGTCTCAATTTGTACATATTGATCAGATGATCTCCACAATGTGTTAAACGTGAAACTGTACTGGGAGACAGGAGATTTGTTGTAGTTTTAAAAGAGCTGGGACATCTTGTATTATCAATGACAGTTTTTTTTTTTTTTTTCGTTGCTCTTTTTAGATTGTTTGCCTTGTTGGTGAAGCAATGTATTCGAATGGTTCTTCATGATCTTTCGTTTTCCCTTGTGTTAAAAAAATTCAATTTAACTATTTATTGTATTGAACTTTTGAGATTGAATCTATGTGCAACGATAGTATTGTTGTGACCTGGATATTCCTGATTCTAGTTGAAATAGTCCCTCACACATAACGGCTTGTTCATGTTAAAGTTAAGTTGAACTAATTATGAATTGTTAAACGAAATTACGATATGTAGAAGACACAACATTGGGAAACGTAACTACATGATCTGAAGTTTTCTTACACTTTTTTGACTCGAGGAAGAAGAATCAACAATACACCTTTAGTTCTCTTGCAGATTTATCGGTTCTGTGGAAAAAGTGTTATTCTTGGCTTGGGATTCAAACGGTATTGCCGGTGGATTGTAGGGACCACTTGCAAAAAAAGTTGTGGTTTCAAAGGAAAGAATTTTGGGGAGGGTTGGTTCTTTGACTTTCGTGTGTTCGATCGCACTGCGAACAATGGACATCTCCAAGCTTTTAACTTTCGTTGAGACGAGGGATATATTAAGATTTTAAAAGACTATATAAGAATGCCACGACTTATAATTTTTTTAATAATTATTTTCTGTAGTTTAATGATAGATTTGTATGTAAGAAGTTAACGCATTTGGAATGATTCTAATAAAATGTATAGGATTTGAAAAAAATTCTACAAAACTGTTCGGAAAAAATAGTATATCCAACCACAAATTCTATTTTTTAATAACTAATTAGTTCTAAATCTATGTCTTTCTCTACTAATCTTTTGTACTAGCATTTGTTTTTCTGTCTTAAATTTTTAACAATAGATTCAAAATTGTGATTTTTATTATCTTGTAATATTAAATACTAATATTCATATATTAATTGAATTGAAATTTAATGAAAACAACAGTATTCATGATTTTTTTTTAAGTGTGGCAAAAAATATCTCAATCACTTTCAATAAATAAAACAAAAAATAATATGTGATGAGAGAAAAAAAGTTAACAACTGAGAAAAAAAAGTCTTAAAATCTCAAAGTTAAGTATAATTATTTGATAAGTATAATATTTGTACGTTAAGTCACGTGAAATTTATTTTTAAAAAATTGAAGTACAGGTTTATTTGGACAAATTTTTCTCTAAAAATTTGTACAAAAGAACAAATAAATAAATATATGTACAATATAATTAAAAATCAATATATTTTTTACAAATTAATTGATGAGTAAACTAATTTTGATTTCTTAAAAAACCTATTTTATTTTTTTAAAGTCTTATAAAAAAGTTAATTTGGGGGAAGCAAGGGGTAGATTTGAAGTGAAGCTTGGTTTTCCTATGTGCCGTGATTTTTAGATTTTTTTTTTTTTCAGTTATGCCTTCGTTTCTTTCACTTACCTTATCACTGTTTGTAGTACAAGTTTCCCTGGTGCTTCTATTCAGCAAAAACAAAATGAACATGTTTTTAGTGTCAAGGAGTCCAGTTGAGTTCAATTTTTAACTCATTCATTTAATGCTTGAGAATATTTTATCAAACAAACATTGAAGTTTGATTTTGACTATTTTAATTAATTTATGATTTGATTATCTTTTTATTTGTCAACATCTTTGAATACACTTTATTCATTAATATTTTATTAACACACAAATCCTCATGCTAATTTCGAGAGACTAAAACAAGATAGGATTAAAATATATATCAACTCATTTAAGTAATTGAATTTAACTTTACACTGAAATATGTTTGTTTTGTTAAATAAATTATTGTGATAAAGCATTTAACTTTACATCTTCATGCACCAATAGGAAGTGTGGCAATTTATTTGTTTTTTTTTCCACCACAGTTCCTTCTATTCGGTAACTATTTTGTACAAGAAAAAACATGGTCTCAGTGAAGGGTATTTCTCTGCAAAACCCCTCGACGATGGAAGTTTTGGGCTACTTTCTACAACTCTCTCTCACGGCTGCTACTTAAGGTAAGAAGATAATTAATTACAATACATACACATGGTGTAGAAAATGGGCAAGAAAGAGCTTCAATTTGTAGCTTGACGTAAGCGTTTGTGAAGCAATGCGCAGGTATCATTCCATAGCTTTTTAGCTTCTGATTCGTCGTTTGCTAGAGTCGAACAGTTACTCTCGTTACAATCTGTAAAATATTTTCCACTCACTCCCTCTGTTTTTCCACTTAGAGCAACATAGCATGTCGTTGATGCACCCTACCAACATCTGTTAATTAATTACTGGTACTCGTAATGGAAACTCATCATTAAGCACTAAAACATTCACAAACCTGTGATATCGATTTCAGCAACTTTGATGCAATAAAAAACAGGGAATCTGCATTGAAATATTATAAATATTTAGTGGCTTGAACCCCTGTGAAGATGGCTTAAGTATATGACTTATAAAATTAATTACCCGTTATTAAGCCCTTATGCGCTCTAATAATCCCCGTCTTCACTATTCCTGGATGCACTGCGTTAATTGTTACATTTGCATTCCTTCCCTGTGATCCACACCCAATTTCCAATCATATTTTAGCCACAGAGAAAAGTTAATTAGTAATCAATCAAAAAATAAATTCTCTTATAACTTTTTAATTGTTATTTTTAGGATATTGATCAGTATGTGTTTTAATTTAATTTAGTTAAAATAACATAAAAAAAGAATAGAAAGATTGAGGAGTTAAGTTATGTGCCATTTTCTCACCTTCAGTTGTCTGGCCACTTCCTTCACATGCAGAATTGTGGCTAATTTTGACTGAGCATATGCGCGTGTGCCATTGTAACTGCATATAATTAAGATTATTGGTATCTAAATTTAATGCAACCAAATTTGTTCTTGATTTTGCAGATAAAGGGGCCAAGTGTTATCATGACTTTACCTTTTTCCGCAGAGCATGTCGTTGAAGCAGAACGCAGATCTTTTCACCCAACTATGAATCACTGAAGAGACGTTTATTATTCTTCCTTCAATCCCTGACTTCTTTGCAGTATCTATCATTTTCTCTAGTAGCATTTTTGTTAACAAAAAATGTCCTGCAGTTTAAGATGAAGTAATATGGAATTATTTTTTCATTTTCTTTTTAGCTTCCTTTTTGTTATTTTCTTCTGCAATTCTGATAAGGTAATTTGTTGGATTTGACGACAAAACATCATCAAGATAATCATTGAATATTAGAAATAGGCTACAGAAAAGGGTAAGTTTACTCTTGTTTTCAAATGAAAAAGAGCCACCTTGCTTGTATATGAACTTAAGAATTATGTGTTTTAAAACATTCCTTCCTGATCAGAATGAGTGAAAATCATTTTTTTAAATATTATCCATAAATAGGTCATTGAATAGAAGATTTGTGTAAAGTTCCATCCACTCTTATTGGAGGTAATAAGGACTCTGTTTAAGACAATTATTCTTGTGTGCACCCGTTTGTGTCTGTTGTTATGTTAAGAACTGTAAGAAATATATAGGAACGAGAAGTACCTAAGTAATTTGTAGCAAATGTCATCTCAATTTTCTCTTCGGAGAACTCCAAGTTTTGAGAGTACATTCCTGCATTGTTTCTGTGAAATGAATATATTCCAACTATTAGCACTTGATGCATGTACATGAAACGAAGGAAATATGAAGAAAATAAAACTTACATGAGAATATTCAGGGGTAGTTCTAAAGCTAAAAACTCCGAGCAAAATCTTTGTACAGAAGCAAAAGAGCTAAGATCGATCTCCAACAGAATAACCTCAGCATGAGGACTCTCCTTTTGGATATTCTCTCTCACTTCCCTCGCCTTTCTCAAGTCCCTGGCACCGATCACAACCCTTACTCCTCTCTTTGCTAACACTCTAGCTGTTTCAGCTCCAATTCCAGAAGTCGCACCTGCAATTCAAAATTCAACCACACATTACAACTTCATTAATTAAGCTAATCCCACATTATCAAATAATTTAGAGTGCGTAGTGTATGCAGCTAGTGCACAGTATGAATCAATGAAGGATCAATGTACAAAAGAAACACCACCACAAGTTGGTGTTCTCATAATTGAAAGCCGACAGAATAAACTCTTTGAGGCTGAAAATTATTATCATATTTAATATGATACAAGGTAAAAAATGGATAGAGATTTCTGACACAGACAGCACAAATGCAGATTGAGCAAGTACAAATGAAAATGCAAGTGACACTGTGACAGCTTATGACTACATATATAATATCACAAAGAAAGTGACACGAAGAAAGAGCTCAAGAATATTCAAAATTAAGTGATGGACAGCAGCACAATCGCTCTGATCAGATTCTTGAAAGACATATGGGAAGATCAGAAAGGTTCACAAAAACATTAATGGAACTGGAACCATGGTATGCAACCTTTTTCTTGATATGTATTAATTATTATATGGTAACTTACCAGTGATGAGAGCGGTTAGATTTGAAGGGAGCAAGGAAGAGCAATCTTCAGTGACTTGCTCAGCTGTTGAATTTGAGCCGAAACCACTAGGGCCAGCAATGCCTGCTAGGTACCGTAGTGTTGCCTTCATGGATTGCCCTGCTTTAGAATCTCAGAAAGACAAAACATTCGTGTCTGCAACTAAAAACCACATACCTATATACATATATATATATATATATATATATATATATGGTAACTCACACCTAGGTAGTGTTTGGTGGGATTTGTTATTTTTAACATAGAAATTATTGTATAACGTGAGCCTATTACGTGTT